GGCTCCTCACTTGGGGGGGAGGGCAAAGTGGGGGGAAGCCCTGTGGGGGGATCCCAATTCCGTGGGGCTGAGGGGAGGGCAGGGACAGGGTGTCTCGGAGCCTTAGTGGTGGGGGCAGAGCCCCCAGGGTTGCAGGGGCGGCAGGACCCAGAATTAATGGGAAAAGGTCTGGGAGTTGACCCCTGCATCCTGCTCCCTTAAAGGCAAAAGGTTTCTTGCTTTAATTGAGACACGTGTTGCTGCTGGTGGGGAGGGAAGTGGACTTAGGTGCTGGAATCAGGGCTGGTGCAGCAGCATCTCCCCGCTTGAAGTGGTTTGCAATCTGCCAATGAGCAGGGTTTATAGTTCGGTTCCCTGGCTCTCCGCTTCCCTGGATATGGGCGGGTTGGGACCTGAGTGTCACAAACACATCCCTACATCAGTGACCACTAGAAATACATTTCAAAAGTTTCAGGCATCCGATCCTACAAATAGGGTGGGAGGCTCCCGAGGGATGATCGTGTCGGTGTTTAACAATGAATACAGGATAGTTAAAGTGCTATGAAAGAAATTGCAGGGTTAGTAGTTAAGAAAATTAAATCCCAACCCACAACATTAAGTCCCAATAGTGCAAATATTTACACCAAGATTAACTTTATGTACATTGAATTCAGTGGAGCTGTACATGTGCGTCAAGTGTAGATGTGTTTGCAGTATTTGTGCTTAAAATACTGTTGAAGGAGTAAAAACAATGAGAAGTCCTGTAGAGCATTAAAGACTGACAAAGTGGTGAAAGCGTATGCCCAAATAAATCTATTAGTCTTTAAGTTGCTACAGGACAACTTGTTTTTGCAGATACAGACTAACATGGTTACACTTCTGATACTTGTTAAAGGATCATTGAACATAAAAGCTGTACTCCTAAGAATCAGGGTAAGTAAAGCTAAGGTCATGATGATCCTGCAAACACTTGCCAATATTTACACATATACATAATCGCCTCAAAGTCAGTGTTTATGTACAGGGAGGTCCTGATCCTATAATGAGCTGGGCACATTATGCCAGTTTTGTGGTATATGGTGCTCATTGTAGGAGCTGGCTACAGTTAAAATGTATGCAAGCATCTGTGGGAATTGGGTCAGATCTAAAAGGTTCAGCAACAAATGTAGAATGCTTTAAGATGAAGCAAAGCTTGTTTAAAGTGGCCCTTTTAAGGTGTCATCATGCAAGCTGTCTGAACAACTAGAAATAGAGCGGGATTTTTTTCTTCTTTCAAGTTTGTTTCCATGAACCTTAAGTCTTTATGACAGAGCTGAAATTGTCACACTGCAGTCTTCTGTGTATAATAATTTGCATATAATAATTATTTAGTAAGCTTTAAAATACTGTCTTGTAAAAATCCTATTTTACATGGGGAAATGTTTGTTTATATTGGACATGTTACTTGAGGTGAATTAGTTTTTTAAAAGATTGTTTTACTGATATTTGCTTGGTCACTTACAGTATATTTGGACATGTTGAATTGTTCAGTGCAATGGAATAACTTTTTTCATAAAGCTTTTCTCCCTGTTAAAGAAAACAGGGAGATGCATTGATTAACTTTGCAGTTCAGTACTGATATACATAGACATTCACTTGTAGCCAATTGAAGAGCCTCACAGGTAAATTAATACTTAGGCTTCAAGTCAATTCTTCATAGGAATTAAATGCCACTATCAGTATCAGACAAGAATTTCAGATCTTTTTATTACCATTTTATATAGCTTTAAATTGTAGAAGACTTAGCGCAGGACTATTTCCCAAGAGTTCCTATTTCCAGGTCTAAAATAAACTCCAGTTATGAATTTGGACAAGTCACTTTAGTGACTGCCAGCTGTAAAATGAGGACAGGGATACCAGCCCCCTAACTCTTTGGGTTGGGGTATTTGTGAAGATGAAGTAATTTAACTTTGCAAAATACAATAAGTACGAAGTATGGCTGCTGTTTCTGTTGTAGACTTGGAATCAGGTCCATACTAAACTCCAAAATCAATGGGTTTCACTTGAGCCATTGATTTGTTTCAGCTGATCCAGTAGCAGGATTATGGTGGCAATTTGCTTGCATTCTCATCATGTTGCAAGTACTGAATGTTAAGATACTTATTTATTTTCATAAATACTTGAACTCATTGGCTGAATCAGCCATTGATTTCCAGGGTGCATCTATCTATGTTCTAGCTTGGGTGATAATATTTTAGTCATATTGAACATTTAATTTTTTTTCTGTTTTAAATGCAGCTTTCTGAAAATATTTGTTCCCATGTATAAAGATGTCGTTAGTGGACCTTGGGAAGAGGTTGCTAGAAGCAGCTCGCAAAGGGGAAGATGATGAAGTTAGAACATTAATGGCAAATGGTGCTCCTTTCACCACTGACTGGGTAATTTTTTTTTTAATAGAAAAGGCTAATTTCTCTGTAAAGGTAATTGCTCCAACTACAATATAGAACAGATACTTTGAGGGTAGCCTAAAGAGTAGGTTGATAGCCTTAGAGTCCTAACTTAGCTCATGGTTACCCTCCCTTTGTAACTACAGTAAAACTCCACTCCTGATAGTCTGGCACCATCTGGAACCCGGAAGTGCTCCGGGCAGCCGGACAATTGGAGCTGCTCTGTCCCCGGCTTCCCCGATTCAGCTGCTGCTGAAACTGACCAGAGGCTGACTCCTGGAAGCTGGGGGCAAAGCAGCTCTTCCCCGCTGGTCAGTTTCAGCAGCGGCTGACTCCAGGAAGCCTGGGGCAGAGCAGCTGGGGTGCTGCCGGGGTGGTCCCGCAGCACCGAGGGGCGCATCCCCCGCACTCCACCCCAGACCCCGCATAGCCCCCCCTTCCGATAGTCCATCATATCTGATAATCCGGCACCCCCTGGGTCCTAAAGGTGCCGGATTATCGGAAGTTTATGTGGCAGGGACCTGACTGATTAACTGTGACTTTTCATTGAAGCAGCAAGAATTCCTAATCATACCCATTTTTGTAAGAATTTATGCATGCTTAGACCCTGATCCTGAAAGTTGTCAATACTGGCTGAGCCTGTTCTTGCAGTAGGTCTGTGAATAACTTTACTATCATTGAGTAGCCTCACTGGGGTAAATGGGACAAGTTATGGGTAGCGAAGTTAAGTGTGATTGTAAATAGTCACAAAATGGGGCTGAACAATGACATTCATGCTGCAGGTAAGTTGCCAGCATAGCCACTTTGAGTGCCACAGTTATAGAATGTTGAATTTTTACCTAGTGTGGGTTTAAAAAAAAATCCTTCTTTAAAATGATTATTAACTTGTAAAGTACACTTAAATCTTCATCTTAAAAATTGTAAGAGGGAATTAGAGCAGTAAGACACTAATATTGATTCTAAAGCCTTTTTTATTTTTGTGGATATATTTAAAATGTTTCATCTAAAGTAATTGTATATCAGATTTTGTTTGACAGAACTTTAGTTCAGCGTTCAATATATTTTAAGCCTTTGCCTTAGTGCAGATGATCAGAATTAATTTTGTTTGCTATCTATGCACAGAATATCATCCCAATTATTAATTTATACACTTGGTGCTTGTTGCAGGGTCAATTGCTGGTTGGCTTGATCCCTTGTGGCAGAGCATACCACAGCCATCTCTCTGGATTGGGTGACTCCTGCCAGGAGCTGCTCTCCAGGTCCCATGGTGATCTATCCTTTTACACTCAGCCCTTTACCACTTCTTGACACTCAGCCCCTATGGCCAGGTCACTTGGTTTTGCCCCTGGCTCCTGGGCACTTAGGGGTTTGTCCTTTCCCTTCTGTGAGAGATGTGGTAGGGATGTAATTTATAGTTCCTTAAAATTGCTGAACACGTTAATGGAAATAAATAGGTGCTTCCACATCTATGTTGAACAGAACTTTAAAAAAAAAAACATTTTTAATATACAGCTTGGGACATCACCTCTTCACCTCGCGGCCCAGTATGGCCATTATTCAACAGCAGAAGTGCTGCTTCGAGCAGGTGTTAGCAGAGATGCTCGAACCAAAGTGGACAGGACCCCTTTGCATATGGCTGCAGCCGATGGACATACACATATTGTAGAACTGCTAATTAGGGTAAGTGATATGTCACACATAAAACAGTCTGCAGAATATTAATCTGATCAGTAACGTTGTAATGTCACTGTTCAGGCATTATTCTGTCAGCAGTTCCTAACCTTTTTTTATACTGCAGAGAGGCAAACTCAATCAAAAACTGTTGGCGACACTGAAATATTTGCATAATCATTATGGTAATTAATTCATTTGCATATTCATGATGGTAATTTTAGCTCATGGTAAAGCAGGCAATTCAAAGGAGGGGAGACATGATGGTTAAAAAGAATTTGAAAAAACTGCTGCAAACAAACATTTAAAAAAACAATAAAATAGTTGCTAATACTTGTTAAAGAGTATTCTCCAGTCCAAACCTTTTGCCTCAATTGCACTAGAATTAGAGGCAGAACTAACAAGTCTGACTGTGCTGACACATTCTGCATGTTCATATTTTCCTATGCACTTAATAATGCATAATAATAATGTGTGTACCTTCTGGCTGGGAGCAGCTGGAGGCCCGGGGAAAGTTCCTGCTTAGTGGGGAGGGAGAAGAACGGGGTCGCAAGAGCAGCTGCCCTGCACTCGGTGCTTGGCCCTGCCAGCCGTGACAGCTTCCATGCACATGATGCTTGGCCCTGCCGGTGGGTTGCACACCGGTCGCTGGAGCTGGAACTGGGGCCACGGTGAGGCCCCAGTTCGCAGCACACCCAGCTACCAGCTGCCCCACTTACCCTGCTGCTGCGTGTGGAAGTGCACAGGAAGGGAATTCCCTAGGAACCCCAGGGGGCAGAACTAAATAAAAGCTGGGGGCATTGTGTGGCAATGTGCTGCAGCCCATCAGATGGGTCCACGGCCTGCCACTGGTCCATAGACTGGGGGTTGGGAACCGCTGCTCTATGTGAAGAAGTTAGATTAATGCCAATTCAATATTTTTATTTTTACAGGTTGAACCTCTCTAGTCTAGCACTCCCTGGTCTGGCAACATTTGTGGTTGGCAACATTTGTGGTTGGCATAATTTTAGTTAGTTGGATGTCTGTTTATCATGCATATGGCCAAATTTCCTATGGTTCTGTAAAGTTTGTTTGAAAGCCAGGACTGGTGGCTGTAATGGTCTGTACTGCTGTTTAGCTCTAATTTATCCCTAAATGTTTTCAAAGAGCCCAGTAAGCAGTGGAAGCGTTGGTAATGCTTCTAGACAATATTGATCTGTGGTTTGGCACTGGTCAGGTACCAAGGGTGCTGGACTAGAAAGGTTCAACTGGTAGGATGAAATACAAAACTTCTTTCCCCTCTAACTATAATTTTAAAAACTTTTCTAAAGAAAACCTCAGAATTGTTCAATGAAATCACTGCTTAATATAATGATAAATACAGGGAATGTAAAACAAGTTCCCAAACTTTTTTTTTCTTTTTTGCTGGGCCCCCTTTGAAAATATTTCAGGCTGTGACAACACCTTTCCCCTCCTTCCTGCATGCCACCCATAACACTCCACATCTCTGGTGCTATTGGCCGTGGCACCTTCAGAACTGGGTGAGCAGCCAGAAGCCACCACTCTTTGGCCACCCATCTCTGAAGGCAGTGCCACAGAATATAAGGTAGCAATTCTGCAATCTTCTACAATAGTCTTGCAGCCCCCGGTTAGGTTGGAACCCCAGTTTGAGAAATGCTGATTGAAAACTTAGTGTAATGCCTGTGCAGTAGAGCAGGAAGCATGTACTTCAGGATAAGGTAAAGCAACACTTTGCTTAAAGAATCATATTGTCTGAATTGATTTACCTATTGTAACAAATAAAAAAATATAAAAAAAGCTTTTTAAAAAGACAGTCTTTCTAAAAGTACACCAAAAGACTAAAAATAATAAAAAGGTGCACCAAAAAGTCAAAAGAAGTTTTAAGCTAGCAATTTAGGAAAAAGATTGAATGGCTAAGTATGATTCAAGCTACAGTAAAACTCCAGTTGTCCGGGATCCGGCACTCCCAATAGTCTGGCATCAACTGGAACCCAGAGGTGCTCCAGTCAGCCGCTCTCGCAGCTGGGCCGCTGCGTTCACAGCCCCACGCCATTCTGCTTATGGTCCCCAGCTCTCACAGCATCCAGCCTGCACTTGCTAGCAGCCGGCTGCTGAGCACAGGCAGTTGTCTTGGGACCCGGACATAAGGTTGGGGGAGAAGGAGGACTGAGTTACAGCAGGGAGGGGAGGTGTTTGGCTCTGGCGAAGGGGAGGGGAGGGAAAGGAAGGGGGATTGGGTTGGGAGTATGCCCTCTTATAGTACCTCCTGGTATTCCAGCATATCCGATAATCCGGCACCACCTAGGTCCCAAAGGTGCCAGATTATTGGAAGTCTACTGTAGTTGCTAACTGTTAGCCATTCAATCTTCTTCCCAAATTGCTAGCTTAACTTTATTTTTGACTTTTTGGTGCACTTTTTTTTTTAAAGTCTTTGGTGTGCTTTTTATAAAGATTGTCTTTTTAAAGTTTTTTTAATATTTGTTTTTATTTTTATATTTTTGGTCTTAAATCTAGTGTGTTTCAAGTAATAAAAACTGCCAGGTTCGTTTTGATATGCTTATATATTTTGAGCTAAATTTTTTTTCAAAAAATTTTTTGCTCTAGGTATTTACATTTGTAATGAAAAACAGTTGTGTGTAAGGCAAGGATAAAGTACCATGAATTAGCAAATATAACGCGCAGGTTATACATGTATTTACAACCCCTTTTTCCCCCCCCGCAGGTTATACATGTCCGCATCTTATACAAGCTGATTTTTACTCAGATTAAAAGAAGACTAACATGATAAAATCAGCATCTTCGATTTAATAAGAATTTAATTTAATAAGAACAGCAGTGTTTCTCAATTTCCGTTTCTTCTTTTTTCCACTCCCGAATAGACTTTTCATTGACAAAAAATGTTCTCCCCACTGCTCTATTGCCATTTTCTTTTGCATATGTCAGAACAGATCATTTAAAATCGAATGTATATGATTTGCGCATAGGCATCCTTACAAATATCTTGTTATAAACTGAAGGGGTTTTAAAACAGTGTGGTTCGTAGGCCTTATATACCGGTAATAGCGTAGTACTTTTTGCTCAGCGGCCTCAGCTGCAGTTCATTACCTGCGGGTTATGTACCTCCACAGGTAATGGAAGATTTTTTTTTTTTTTACACGTGAAAGAAAAACCACGGGTAATGCACAAGTGCGTGTTATACATGGACTCGAGTTATATTCGCTAATTTAATTGAGGAGATCGATCAATTATTTCGTTGGTGAAAAGGAGGAAGGCTTTGAAGACGCTGTAATTCTTGTAAGGCATCTTTATGGCAAACATTGTTGCCCATTAATTTGTTTGGATCGATTTTTGTCAATCTCTATGCCTTCTAAAGAACGTACTCAACTGAGCACCACAAATGGTTGAGCTGACGCAAAGTATTGAGAGCCAAGGTTTACAACTGCTCTATCCACCGTGTTCCTTTGTAGTTTGTGGATGGTGACAGCATAAGTGTGGATGATTGGAAGCATTCACAGCTCCACCAAGCCGTATCCAAAATTTGTTTGTAATTGACATGTGATTGGCTCGTTGATGTGTTTTCTTACATTTGCATTTCAACTTTAGTGATAGCAGTTTTGTAAGTTTGGTTGTAGGGCCATATTATATTGGTGATGGTGCCAGTTTGTACCGAAACATAACTTCAGCACCCAGATGTATTTCAATTCTCTTTGGAATGCCTGCCATTTGATTAATCTTTGTTGGATAGCTTGATAAAGGTTAGGCACTCATCTTCTCTGCTCAGTAAGGATATCTTGCGCTGTGATTGTGAACATTTGGAGGTTTGCATTGTCTAAACTGGACGAAACTTGATTATTGTGGTCATCTACCATTTTACAAGTTGGCATGATTCTCAAAGCTTTTCCGAGTGAAAAGTCCCCTTGTTTTCTTTCCTCACATTTATGTAGTAAAATATTTAGTTGTTCTCATGTGAGGTTTTTCCTCTTGAAGATTATTTAAAATTTCAATAAATGTCGTATCCCTTCCCTGTCACATGTTTTCAGTCAATTCATAAAAGATACAGAGGTGCCAGAGATGCACAGCAGGTCTCATTGAACCAGGTTGTTTATAAATGGGACTGCCTGATACTGGTGGAGGTTGAAGGAGATCACTGAAGAGCAAGATGTTCAAGCCTCCAGCTGCTCCCAAGGTTGCTGGATTTGAACCCACCACCCTGTGTGCCCCAGGCAAATGCTCTGTCCCCTAAGGCACTCCAGAACCCACCCCACCTCCCTGCCTTCAGAGGATCCCTTATCCTGCCTTCCTAATGTGGGAGCCAGCTCCATCCTCTAGGATGTGGGGGGAGCAGAGCTTGATCTGCGGAGGGGGGGACAGGGCTCAAGCCCACCACACTGCACTCCCCAGGCAAATGCCCTAGCCCCTAAGCCACTCGGCAGAAGCCCTTCCAACCCTTGCAATACAAATACAATGCACACCCATATGTTTGTATACGTGTGTGTGTGTGTGTGTGTGTGTGTGTGTGTGTGTGTGTGTGTGTGAGAGAAAGTTGAAAATCCCATGATAGACAGACAAAATGGTGGCCGTTTAATAGAAAGATTGTCTAATAATAACCTAGGATAAGTGTATTTATAAGAGATGAATATCAATGCAAATCTCTAAAGTGGTAAGTGCCTGGATATGCACGTATTTGATATCATGCTAGGTGGAGTCCATGAAGGACTTAGATGTTACAATGCTGAGCATGATGGTGGCACTGAACTTTAGGTGCCTAGAAACCTCACAGGAACAACACTGTGATCCACAAAGTCAGGCTAGGCGTCTGTATTGCCTGTAACAAATGTGGGAGAGAGGTGTTAGAATTGAATCCACAAAAGCCAGCTCCATGCTAAAGTACCAATTGGAGATGCTGATGAGGGGCGTGTGCACTCTTCTCTGAGACAGGTGCCTAACTTTAGGCTGCAGGGAGGCACCTCTCCAGCAATCTCTGAATGGGAACCTGTCATTTTTCTGCCTCTTAAGCACCGCTGAGCATACCTACTGAATCAAGCTGTGTGTGTGACTTAGGCAGCCAAACATCTGTCTTCCCCATTAGGCTGCTCTGCACATGCCTAGAGGCAGAAACATAGGTGCCCAGGGAACTTTTACTCTGACAAATACAGGTGCTGAGTGAGTTTTGGCAGCGGTAGGGTTTGGCAGGAGTTTTGTGGATTCCAGTGGAGCCAAAACTGGGACTTAGCTACCTAAGTACAGGATTTAGGTGACTTTGTGCATTTCATTCCTTTGTGTTTAACTAGTTTCCCTGTTTCTTTGGAATCAGGGAGAGACCATGCTCTGGAAAAAATACAGTTAGATTAAACTAATGCTTTTATTTCTCTCAGAATGGTGCTGATGTAAATGCCAAGGATATGTTGAAGATGACTGCCTTACACTGGGCAACAGAACACAACCATCGAGACGTTGTAGAATTGCTTATAAAGTATGGAGCTGATGTTCATGCTTTCAGCAAGTTTGATAAATCAGCCTTTGATATAGCCTTGGACAAGAACAATGCAGAGACTCTGGTAATGCTGCAGGTGGGTTAATTACAGAAAAAGTACATCATCTGCCTACAGCATTTCCCAATGCAATGAGAATGAACATTTTCTATTGAAACTTTCTTGTTGGCATGCCTGAATCAAAGAGTAACTTGTGTAAAATATTGCAGTGGCCATTAGTGTCTTCATCACTAAAGAAGTAAATTTGAAGAACGTCGCAAATTTCTGAACTTCATTGGGTTTCTTTGCAGACAGACTCTCTGTAGAAACTTCAGATCTGAACTCATTGAATTAACTTTGTTGTTGGAATTTTTGTAGAAACATGCCTCTGGGAAAAGGGAATTAAAGATGCAGATTATTTTAATTTTATTACAAGGTTGACTAATTATTGTTTGGAAAAAGCTATTTAGATAGTGGCCTTGATTCTCTGTTGTCCTGTAACTTGTGTATTGATTTACTCTAGGGACGTTAGCGAGTATTTGACTACCCGATAAGCATAAGCTTATCCAGTAGTCGAGTGGAGTATTGACTACTTGCTCTCCCCCTGCCCCTTGGTGCCTCTGTGAGAAGCAGCAAGGGGGAGGAGGGAACAGGAGCTGGTGATGGGGGGAGCTGGCTTAAAAAGCTGGTTCTCCTAGCACTGCCACATGTGCCTCTCTCGCTCCAGCAGCAGCCCCTGTTCCTGGCGGACTGCAAACAGAGGCTGCTAGACTCGGCATGAGCCCGGCAGCTCTTACTACATTTAAAATGCAGAGTTGCAGTGCAAGTGGCTCCTGGAGTTGGCACATGCTGGGACTTCAGTCCAGGCTTGAGGTGGCTCCTGGAGCTACCGTCTTGACTACATGATTAGCCAGATAACCACAGTTTAACGTCCTTAATTTACCCCAGTGTAAAATGTTACTTTTTGACCACAGAAGGTGCATAGCAGTAGAGAATCAGGCCCCAAAAATGCTGTATGGTAGCTAAGTATGATTTCTCTTATTGGAGATGAGAGAAAAATGTGTCTAATTGCATTTTCTTCTTAAGGAGGCAATGCAGAATCAGGTAAACACGAATCCAGAGAGATCAAATCCTGTCACAAATACAGTGACTGTTGCCTCACCATTTATCCTTGCATCAGGGGAAGTTCTCAATCTTGCTAGTTTTGTTTCTTCAGCAAACACCAAACCAACCTCAGGTAAGAGTCTGTGAACATGTAGGAGAAAAATGTTTCTTCAAAATATTTCTGGTTTAAGGTTTTTAGAGAGGTGCTTACCTCAGTTCAGTCTTCTGAATTGTAGAAGGCAGAAGTTCCAAGTTGGTAGAGAGAGATTTTTAAAACCTAATGCAATGCACCAGAATACCTGCCCTGTCAAATATATATGCTTTATCTGAAAAGATAATGAGCTAGAATTTCATGTGGCATAAAAAGGGTTGTTCCACTGAGTCAGTGGAGAGCTTTGCTATTTTCACTATTTCACTATTATTTATAAGCAATAAAATAAAACCTTCATAACTTGGGAAATGTAAAGGATTCAAGTTACAATGCACTGACCATTCCTTTGGTAAAATAATTTGAGTAGGTACCTAATTTCTACGTACCCATTTGGTACCTATGTCCTAAATTTGTGAAGGACTCATTTAGTGTTCTGTTTTATTATTTATTAACTGGAAGAGCACAGTGAGTTATCTTGTGTATCTGAATGTCAAATCAGGAAGCAGATGGAAAATCACTGTAGTGAATGTATCTTGGGTGTGCAGGTTTCTCAAACTTATTTTTTCTTAGCAAATAGGATAGAGATGATAAAAACGAGAGAGCAAGTTATTACCATAAATTTTGTCTGGGAAAAAAAAATCATTTAAGGCTGACCATAAATTCTTTCCTTATGTGAGACTTTATAACATATTGTGTTTGTTGTATTTGGGAAGTCCAAACTACTGTTTTTTTTCAGTCTTAAGGAGGCTTCTAAATACAAGGTTTATGAAGCAAGTTGAGGGCCTGACCCTGCAAACACTTCTGCATGTGAGTAATTTTTTAAATTAATGGGACTGTTCACATGCATGAGTGTTTGCTGTAGTTGACTGGAGCAGTGTTACAAATGTGGATGTTTCCTATTTTCAGTTCTAAGATCTCAGTGCTGCAATCGGATTGATAAAAGCAGCACCCTAAACCTGTGTGTGTCCCCACTGACTTCAGTGAGACTCTGAACTTACTTTGAGTAGGAACTTTCCATGTGATTTTTTTTTTTCTATAATAAACTGATAAATTCTGCAATTAACCCTCTCTCCAAACTTGAGGATCAACAGGAATATTTCTGTTCAGTACTTACATGGATAATGACACAACTTTCCTTAAAACTTCTTAAAACATGGCATTGCTGCAAATATCTGGTTAATGTTAAAAATATGAAAAGTCCTGCATGTTTTTTCCCATTTTGTTCTTTTTGGGTGCCAAACTGAAAAACTTTATTTCCATTAATAGTCCCTCCTGGTCTATTTTGGGGATAATGGTTTGCTGACCCCCGTGTTATTGGTTTTTCCCTTATTTGCCCACAAGAGGGCATTAGAGACTGTATTTCAGACATAGCAAGTAGTATAACTTTTTTTTATCAGTGAAGACACTTTTTGTACCACTTCTTGCTTGCAGATGATTAATGTTTATTTAAAATTAGAAACTCCTTAATGAGGACAAATGTCTGTACTTGACTGAAGAAATTTTGTTCAGAAGTAACAAAGTTGTATGTTTATGAAAATGGCATATTGAATATACCAGTTTTGTCTCGGGGGGGGGAACCATGGTAAGTCTGCAACTAAATACAGCGAGCAGTCCTGTGGCTTGTTAGAGACTAACAAATATGTTAGGTCATGAACTTTCATGGATAAAACCACTTCATCAGATGAATTGGAGTGGAAATTACAGAATCCAGGGTATATACAGCTGCAAAAGCAGTTACCTGTCAACTGTAGGATCAGTGTTAATGAAGCTAATTAAGTTAGGCTGGATTTGTCCCCTGTGTAGCATTTGATATGCAAATGTAAATTTCAAAGGTAGGGGAAATTGCCTGTATAGTGCATTAATCAGTTAATATCTTTATTCAAATCCCAAGCTGGCAGTATCAAACTTGTAAATGAACTCCAATTCAGCTGTCTCCCTCTATACTTGAATAATAAAATTCCTTTGTAGAAGAATGGCTACTTTTAAATCCATTATTGCATGTCCAAGCAGGTTAAAATACTAATTTTGGTATCACTTAGGTTTCTTTTTTTCTTGTTCTGTTAGTACTGTCTTCAAGTGAAATGGACTGCTGTGGTCAGTTGAGGAACGAAGCTTCTTGCACTGGAATTGGGATGATTTTTGTTCCTTGCACAGAGCAAAATCTGCAGTCCAAACATCTTGATATGCTGACTCTCTCATAGTCTACACCATTTTCTTTGTTGCATTTTAACTGACTGGTGTATTTTGTGAAGCTGGTTTTCAAACAATATGTTGAAATTGCTAAATAGTTATAATAGACTGATTTAGCTTTCAAGTAAAAGCTTTGATTGTTGATTTGTAACAAACAAAACATATATTTTCTAAAAAGCAGTGCTGAATGGAGTCCGTACTTAGGCAAAATTTAATACTAAAAGAATTTGGGTTGTATAGTTAGCTTATTTCGACTAGGGATGTGAAGGACTAGCTGACTAGTCGACTATTCAGTAAGCAAATGCTTATCGGATAGTTGACTAGTTGCTCTTCCCCCCCCTTGTTCTGAGGCAGCAATGTGGGGGAAGAAGGAGGTGCCAGATGCCGGGCTCCACGCAGCACTGCCCCTTTGAAATGCCGTATGCAGCCCAGGGCCAGCTGGGGTGACCTACTTGAAAGGTGGAAGCGCTCTATCAACTAATTGAATAGTCAATGCAAAATGCATCAACTATTTGATTAGTCAGTCGATACTTAACATCCTTAATGCCTACAGACTTTTAAAAATATTATTTTGCCGTTTGCAATGCTGTAATTGAAATTAATGTAATACTGCAAAATCAGGTTTTGCACATACAGCTTTTGCATAATGGTAATTATATTCAGCCTGTGTAATCAGACTTCATCTCTTCTGTGCTGGTAAGGCCCTGTATTTTGATCATGTGTGGTTTTAAACATATTAGAACATAAGCATGGCCAGACCAAAGATTCATCTAGCCCATTCTCCTGTCTTCCAACAGTGGCCTATGCCAGATGCCCCAGCGGCAGGGAATCATCAAATAATGAACAGAACAGGGAATCATCAAATAATCCATCTTCTGTCACCCATTCCCAGCCTCTGACAGAGGCGAGGGACACCATTCCTACCCATTCTGGCTAATAGCTATGGACCTAACCTCCATTAATTTTCTAGTTTTTTCTTGAACCCTGTTAATGTCCTGGTCTTCAAAACCTCTTCTGGTAAGGAATTCCACAGGCCAACCATGTGCGGTGTGAAGAAAAACTTCCTTTTATTTCTTTTAAACCTGCTACCTATTAATTTACTTTGGTAACCCCTAGTTCTTATGTTATGGGAACACGTAAGTAACTTTTCCTTATTCACTTTTTCCACACCAGTCATGATTTTATAGACCTCTATCATATCCCCCCTTAGTCTTCTCTTTTCTAGGCTGTAAAGTTCCAGTCTTTTTTAATTTCTCTTCATATGGCACCTGTTCCAAACCCCTAATAATTTTTGTTGACCTTTTCTGAAGCTTTTCCAATGCCAGTATATCTTTTTTTGAGATGAGGTGACCACATCTGTACGCAGTATTCAAAATCTGGGCATACCATGATTTTATATAGAGGCAATAAGATGTTTTATATCTTATTCACTATCCCTTTTTGAATGATTCCTAACATTGTTTGTGCTTTTGACTGCCATTGCACACTGAGTGGATGTTTTCAGAGAACTATCCACAATGACTCCAAGATCTCTCTTGATTAGTTATAGCTAAATAAGTCCTCATATTGTATGAATAATTCAGATTATTTTTTCCAATGTGCATTACTTTACATTTATCAGCATTAAATTTCATTTGCCATTTTGTTCCTCAATCACTTAGTTTGGTGAGATCTTTTTGAAGCTCTTCAGTCTGCTTTGATCTTAATTGTCTTGAGCGGTTTAGTATCACCTACAAATTTTGCCACCTCACTGTTTACCCCTTTCCCCAGATCATTTATAAATAGACTGAGTAGGATTGGTCCCAGTACTGACTCTTGGGGGACACCACTAGTTACCGCTCTCCATTTTGAAAACTTACCATTTATTCCTACCCTTTGTTTCCTGTCTTTAACCAGTTATCAATCCATGAAAGGATCTTCCCTCTTATCCCATGATAACTTACTTTACTTAAGAGCCTTTGGTGAGGGACCTTGTCAAAGGCTTTCTGAAAATCTAAGTACACTATATCTTCCGGATCCTTGTCCACATGTTTGTTGACCCCGTCAAAGAACTGTAAAAGATTAGTAAGGCATGGTTTCCCTTTACAGAAACCATGTTGACATTTTCCCATCAAATTATGTTCATCTGTGTGTCTGACAATTTTATTCTTTACTGTGGTTTCAACTAATTTGCCCGGTACTGACGTTAGACTTACCGGTCTGTAATTGTCAGGATCATTTCTAGAGCCCTTTTAAAATATTGGCATCACATTAGCTATCTTCCAGTCATTAGGTACAAAAGCTGATTTAAAGAATAGGTTACAAACTACAGTTAATAGTTCCTCAATTTCACATTTGAGTTCTTTCAGATCTCCTGGGTGAATGCCATCTGGTCCCTGTGACTGTCACATGGGACATTGTTCACATCTGTTCAGAATGAAAGCTATATGTGGCGCCAAAATCTGGTTTTGGTAGTCCAGTGGATTACCATCTGGCCTCTTTGTAGGTGGTCTTTGTGACAATGCCCGAGTAAGACCTCTTAGCTTGCATCAGTTTATTTAGTTCCTTTGCATTGCTTCTAATTACATTTATTTTTAAATTCAGTAAAATGAACATTAAATATAAGATACTTATTTCAGACAGCTTTTAAGAACAGTACATGGGACTGTTTTAGAGCTTAAAGTAGTCTGTTCAGTATAAATTATAGGCTGGAAAAATTGCTCCAGTAGGGCAATAGTTTTTTGGCAACCCTTCTTTGCTTGAACAGCTTTTAATAAAGTTATGATAATATGGTATCATACTTATACTTCATATCTCCTTCCCTTGCTTTCATTTCCCCAAAACAGGTGATTCCCATGTATCTACAGTGCAGTTTTCAAACTCAACAACCTCTGTGCTTGCCACACTTGCAGCCCTCGCTGAAGCATCTGCTCCCCTTTCCAATTCAAATAGAACTACAGGTAGGTAAAATGAATCTGGCATTGACATCAATGTATTTAATCCCTAGTGCATAATTTGCAAGGAATCGTAAGGAAATTAGGTTACTTAAATCCTTTTTACAAACTATACTTGAATTCATTCAGCATAACTCAAGAGAGTTGCTAAATTATATGATATTTGGCAGTAGTTAAAAGACTGATGGATTAATCTGTTATCCTAGTTCATACATATTTCTATAGACTATAGTTGCTGCTTTGAATGAAGTACCAAAGTGTGTGGTTTTTTATATACTATCCACTCTATCCTGTTTTGAGCTGGATACTGTTATAATTGTTCTGCCGAACTGTCTGTTATAAACAGAAAAGAACACAGCCTGTATCTCTGTCAGAAGCTCTTTATTAAACAAATGTGGTATTTTTTTATTCCAGTTTTATGGAACAGATTGTTTGAAATGTTTTTATTGCAGGCTTGATATTTGTTATGTTCCTCCTGATTTTACAAACATCATGTTTTTACAAATAAAGTATTTGGATGTCTTGAGACATTGATAACATTTGGGTTCTTTTATGCATACCATAGAAGTTTAATTTTCTGAACATCGATATTACAAACAGCCAGTTACATGAGCCACTTTTTTCCTGACAGTGGGAGGTGGAGAAGAGTCACATAGTAAAAGTGGTGTTTATGTTCCAATGCTATCATTATATGGGAAATTGCTTTGCAGTGGTTTTGAAATACAAGAAGAAAATAATTCATGACACCAAACTGCAACATATGCACTATACCTGCTTTAATTGAGATGTTCATAAAATTTAACTTCCTTATTTTATGAACTCCACAATCCCCAATTGGTTTGTAAATGGGGTTCTGCAGTACTTTATTCTGAAATACTGAGTTTTATGGTTGTAATTCTCAGCCTGTTTACCATTGTCGTCCACATCTACAGCTCTGTATTATGTGGGCTATATCCACAAAATATATATACCACCTACATGGGCCACAGCTGTGTGCTGATTGAGTCTTTGGTTGAGCACCATTGCTTTATTGTATATTTACAATGTGCAGAGTAGAAACCAACAGTTGATGTTAAAATGATCAAGTCGTCCATCTTTTTAAATATAGCCTTACGTAATCTTTTTTAACCTTTAAACACTTTTCCCCAAGAGATGGAGTACTTTTTATTATATTAGTTTTATTTGTATTTGTGAATGCTGGTGCTTTAAATTCATCTAAGTATTTGAAGATAATTATTTTTTACCATTGAAAAGCTGCTGTGGTTGTATTGGTATTGTGTTCACTTTAGAATTCAACATTTTCAGATGCTTCAGTGTTTGGAGTTCTTGTGCAGTAAACATGGCCTTATTTACGCCAAGCCTAATAGCTTTTTCTTAAAAAAATATAACTTGGGAGTTTTTGCTCTGCTTTTTCCAGCTAACACAGAAGAAATAGTGGAAGCAAATTGTGTAGATTCTGCCATACAACAGGTGGTTGGCAGTGGAGGTCAACGAGTCATTACGATAGTAACAGATGGCGTTCCACTGGGCAGTCTCCAGACAACCATTCCTACTAGTGGTATCAGTCAGCCGTTTATAGTGACCATGCAAGATGGACAGCAAGGTAAGAAGCTGCTCAGCTTAGAACACAGTAAGCCAGTTTTAGACCTTCCTAAAGAAGAATTTAAAAAAGGTATGGCAGATGCATAAACATAGATTCAGGTCTGTGAATCTAGGAAACTAGGCATGGTGGAAAGTAAAGGAAAAATGAAGCCACTGCTTGTAGTGTGCTGTTATAAACGTCTACCTTCTGAGTAAGCTCTATAAACCTCAATTCTCCTCTTGATTCTTTTATGACTGAGGCTAGTTACAAAATCCTTCTGATTGAACACAGATACATACTAGGGATGTTAAATATCAGTTAATTGAATAGTTGATTAACCTCATGAATTTTTACCAGTTAGTCAACTACTCTATGGGCAGTCCCTGTCTGTGGGGAAGGGTCTGAGCTCCCAGACCCGGCACAAACCGGAACTGAGCCGGTCTGCCTGCCTGCCTGGATCCTAATACTCTTTAAATGCAGAGCCGCAGTGTGGGTAGGTCCAGGACCCAGTGCAAGCCAGGACTGAGCTGGGCTGCTGGCCAGCCTGCTAAAAAATTTACTGGCAAGGGGTAGGGGGGAAATGTGTGTAGTCTACAGCATTAACCTATAAGCTTTTGCTTATTCGTTAATCGACTACACTATTACATTCCTAATACAGACAGTGCTACATTTTTATACTAATATTAATAGTTGAATTAAAATGAGTGAAACAAGTATAATGATAAATATTTGCCATTGTTAAATTCTGTTAGGCTGTCTGGTGCTTTCCTACCAGGTTTGTCTCCTACTGTTGTCTCCTACTATATAAATGTTTATATCCTCTCCATTCTGGACTTAAGTGACTCAACCAATTATGCTTCTATCAAGGTCCCTTGGGTGATTATTTCAGAGTCTAAATAGAATTAGGTGTTAAGACATTTTACTTGATTGTCAGGTTAAATATATCTTTTCATCCCATTACCCGAGACCATTCTATTTGGTTAGTTTCACAAACCAAATGTGCATGATATTTGGTAAAACAAGTCAAAAATCCCAAGCACTTGCATGCTGATTTTTTTTTAACTTATCTGAGGAATGTAATATATAGGCTATGTATATTAGCTGTGATCCAGTTAACTTGCTATATTGGGTTGGGGAATATTTTTTGCGACAGGGACTGCTGACCCACAGAAAAATCAGTTAGGGGCTGCACACAAGTGATAAGTGGGGGGAACAATAAACCCTCACTGTAGCTCCTGAATGAGAAGACGACACTTCCCACATTCCCCTTGAGCACCAGAGCCTAGGGGTGCCCAGCCTAGTAGATTTTTGTGCGCTTCAGCCCCACGGGAGGCAGCAGGGGCCAGCACAGGTACCACAATGTTGGGAGGATGATTCTTGAGCCTTGGGGGCCAGATCCAGTCAAGTTGAGGGCTGCATCTGGCCCCCGGGCCTGAGGTTCCCCATCCCAGTGCTATATGGATGCTTGGGTATTTGATACCTCATATTATCCTTTTTTGCTAATGAGTAATGCATAGCTTTATAGTTAGAGCCCTGCATGGATACAATATTTATATCCAATTCAGCAAAAATGAGCTGCAGACATCCACACATTTGTAGGGTTCTAGATACAAAATTTGTATCCATATCTGCAAAAAAAACACTGTAGATAAGTGGATATCCATTAATTTACAGGGCTCTATTTATAATGGTCTCATGCAACACACATGCAAATGTATAGGTTGTTTAGAGATGGGCCTATTAATCATAATTAATTACTTATTTTAATTTCACTTCTGTTTGCAAACAGTCTATTAACGGAAAGCAGTTTTTCTCAGATTTACTATTCAGAATTATTTTCCAGATATTTTCACACAATTATTGATCTGTAGCTTCTTCTGTCAGTGTTCCTAATTAGAACTCTTTTTTGATAGAACACAATAGTCCATATATGTTTCTGATTGGATGAAATGTTACATATCCGGTTCCATGTACAAAAATTTGTTTATAATGTATTTGTCCTCTGGAATATTCATGAAACATAATCCATGACTTGATAAGAAGCTGTGCATCCCATCAGTGGATTTTAGGAATTTCTGATTGTTTTCCACCACTTCTGTGCAGAATATTACTCTGAAATCAACGTGTGAGGAAAATATCTGTGTGGATTTCTGTAACAAAAGTAACTGTAATCCATATTCATTTCCTTCATTTAATATTCCTTGACTTGTAGTTCTAACTGTACCTGCTGGTCAGGTTGCAGAAGAGACAGTTATTGAAGAAGAAGATGGTGATATAGAAGAGGAAGAACCTCCACCAGCGAAGAAGCAAAAAGTTGACCAAAATTTAAATGATTTGGAGGAAAACAAGGTAAAAGTTCCTGTGTGTAATTTTCATAGAAAATGGGTGCAGTCTAAACTATCAGTGTCCACTGAACGGAGAGTGGTGAGTTTCAGGTATATTTAAATAACTCGCTATAGATGATGTGGCCTTAAATGATCATGTCTTTATAGTCAGACTTTTCAGAAATGCCAATGTTTCTCATTCTTTCTGCTCAATCTACATGATCAGTAACTAACACGCAATACCTTAATACCGCTTACCTCTTATGCAGTGTTCTTCAGTAGATCTCAGATGCTTTACAGAGAACATGAGTATCATTGTCACCATTTACAGAGGGAGAATCAAAGGCACAGAAGGGAGAAATGACTGCCTATTGTCACCCAGCAGGCCAATGGCAGAGCAGAGAATAAGAACTCAAGTCTTCTCATGCCGGTACTCTGCCCACTGAACCCAAGGGGCAGGAGAGTTAGCAATTGAGTTTCTGGTGGTAGAAAGAAGATTCTCTTTCAAATGGCTCTGTGTAATTTTCTAAAACTACAGTAATAACAGACCCATTATGGGACTGACCTCTCCACATTCCAACTGCTGTTTTTAAACAAACTCAGATAACTTATCCAGCACGTTTCGTTTGGAAGGATATATGCTTTTGCATGCACCTTTTGATTTTTAAGGGCCACCAGGTGCTGTGAAGTTTTTTTTAGTCTATTTCTCCAACCCTCTCCCCAGTTGCCAACACTGTTGCTTTTGCATCTGGGCTATTAAAAAAATGGCAACACTCCAAATCTATTTTTATGGAGTCACTTATAGAGAACTGCCCCCATCTTACCTTGCTAAAAAGACCAGCAGTCAATTTCTGCATTAACATACATGCTGAGCAACTTCATTTTGCTTAAAACATAGATAAATCTCAAAGCCCTGGTCTATGGTACAAGTTCAAATTTACAAGCAGTGCACCACGGAATTCAAAATGTGTACTCCTGCTTTTCACGAGTAATGCTAATTCTAAAATAGTAATTTTGAAATAACATTCGTTTGGATGCTTTGGTGCCACTAATTCAAACTAGTTGGTCTCAAGGAGGCCTCCTGCAGCTCCCCAGAGTGCATCTTGGAGCTCTAAGTCCAAGGTAGCGTGTTCACATTAACAGAGACTGCCTCAGACTAATTTCAATGCTTCCCTGTAGTGAGGAGACACTCTCGTTCAAATTTGTTAAATTGTGAGTTCTTAAGTCTAATTTGGTAATTTCGATATAGTTTCCTAGTGTAGACATGGCCTAACAGAGCTGGGTTGTATCAATGAGTAGAGGCAAAAGGCTTCGTAGCCCTATGCCCTGAGGCATCTGTTATGTCTCGATGTGCTTGATCTGTCCTTTTTTTAACCTGCATCTAGTTATTGTCTATAACTGCTTGCATCCAAAATACAGGAACTCATTTGGGCATTAGTCAGAGACTATCTTGTCTTGTAGGACGATAATGAAAGGGAAATGTTACAGCAGCAGTTGCATGAAGCGAACCGAAAGGCGCAAGAATATCGCAGCCAGCTAATGCAGAAAGAACAAGAAGCAGAGCAATACCGGCTAAAGCTTGAAGCCATGGCAAGACAGCAGCCCAATGGTGCTGAGCTTACAGTGGTCGAAGAGGTTGCTGAGGTGGATGCAGTTGTGATATCGTCAGAGGAAACGGAAAGGTCTGCAGCCTCAGTAGTGGAAACAGCGCAGCCTACTGACATTGTTGTGGAAACTGTGACATTGTAACATGGGGATTATCAACTACGTTTTTAAAAGAAAAAAAAACCCTTATTTTAAAGGAGGTGCTGTTGACAAGCAACATTGTGAGCTAAGGGGTTTATTGAAGAACCTCCATGCAACTGGAATATTGAAGAACTGAACTGCTTGTGTGGTCCCATTCAGAGAGATGAAATCTCTTCTGCAACTCATAACATTAATTTTCTTTGAACACAAACCCAAAGGTGCTTTTATAGTTTGGTGTTGAGAGAGAGAGAGAGAGAGAGGTATATTTTTTAAAGAATCTTAATACATTTAGCCAGCAAGTGGCCTACAAACCTATTTTATGACATAGGCCTATGATGTGGGAAGAAAAAGGGTGGGTGGGGAAAGAAGTACCTCATTGCCAAAGTAGCTGGTAGTAGCACTCAGCTGCCCTGAATTTACTGCACTGAAAACACATTTTATGCAATGACATATTTGCACCCTGTTTGTAGTCATCAGATTGGAAACCACAATTTGGAATCTCAAACAAATAATTTGTTTGGGGATACAAACTTTTCATTAAAGCTGGCTTTTATTGGAAAGCGAACGTTGCTGAGATGAAAACACTATTGACGGCATCTTCCAAAACCCTTTGAGAGAAGGCAGAAGAAAATGGCTTGGTCTTTGCAGATGAGACATTTCTTTCAAAATGAATCCAAAATACAATACTCCTTCAAGAACAAACCACAGACTAAGATTGCATAAGCTTTAAGATTCAAGCAATTTGAAGTATCAGGGAATATTAAAACTGCCTTTTAGGTCTCTCTTTTTCCAAAAGGAAGAAAAGAGCTATCTACATTTTGAACCCTTTAGTACCTAACATGATACCAGGTAAAAATTAGACCCTTCAGGTTTTTGAAACTTGGTCAGGTTTTTTAGCATTTTTGTGCTAATACAGTAGCATCAACTCTGCTTACATATGCAAAATGAAATATAAAGTTGTTTTATAGACAGTCGGGGAGGTTAATATGTTTGTCTCTGTTTGGGAAGTGGGTAGGCATCTCACATCATTACTAATCAAAATTGTCTATTTAAAATATGCTAAAATGGTTTGGTTTTTTTAAACAAGTGACTGAACTTACTATTAAACGTTTATGGGTATCTTTCTTTACTATTGCTTGCAGACCCATAGAGTAAAGAAGTTATATGTGTTGCCTGTTGCAGGCTGGGGGATTGTATTTTAAAATGAGTGAAATGTATCACATGCAGAACTGTCTTTTCAGTTACAGGACAGATGCAAAATTATTGGAAGTGCTGTGAGTAGCTGTGGGAAGTATTATTTGTCTTAATTAATGATGATGAGTAAAACAAATTTAAATTGAAAAACTTAATAGAATGTAGCCTGACCAGTTTCCTGTAGAGTTTTAAAAAGTTTAAATCACTTCTAGCTTAAACTGACATGCTGCAGAAACTCTTACTGCTTTCTTGACAAGTTTGAAAAATCTGCCTTCCTTTTCTAAGGCAAGTATCATTAAATTCATGGTTTCAGTTTGCATAATGTAGTGTCTCCTACATACTTCCATGCTTATGTTATGCTATTGTGAGGACTGGCAGTATTCATGGTAGTTATTTAATTTCATGGTTGCAAAGGTCTGCCTTATGGTGTTTCTCTTATTTCCTATGGTGTGTCCCGATAATATGGTTTTGTGTAGATACAGGTACCTCTTTCATGACATTTCTTTTAAAACAGACATACCCATGTTAGAACATCTGAGATGAGTGACATAGAGAGATGCTTTGATCCGCAAAGTTACTAACTTCTGGAGTCCTGAACTGTAATCCTGGGCATGGTCACAGATAAAGATGTGTAGGCTTCTGTGTAGAGAAGACTGATTCACATCAGGAAAACATGGCCTATGTTAGACTGCTCAAGAATTATTTCAAATTGGTAGCAGTGATGTTGCAGGTCATATCCTGGGAGGAGCCATGTTAAGCCTATTTGAATCAGGTTTTGCTTTGTGCAGTGCTGCTGTTCTTTCATACTCATGAGCATGAGATAAGTGTACGTTTCTTTAAAATGTAACTTCAGCCTATCTTAACAGCTCGAATTCTTAAGTCTAAAGTATTTACGTCCATGTGCACCCAAACATTTGATCTGTTTTTCTGCTAAAAATGAATTGCCTCTGCTCGTTCAACAAATGTGAGATGCTTCAGTCTCAAACATGAATTATGTTTGACTATGCATTATGGCCTAAAAGCTCTATCTGTACATATAGTGCTAGAGTCTTCCATTACACCCTCATTGGATTGAATGTTTGAAATAGAGCAGAATTTGGTAAACATCCACACTGCAGAATACATTAGCTGTTGTGATCCCTCCTTCTGGGGCATCTGGTATTGGCCACTGTCAGCAGACAGGACACTGGGCTAGATGGACCTTTGGTCTGACCCAGTATGGCCGTTCTTACATGTGTAAGTTGTATTTATTCTGTACATATGCTTACAGTGCAAAGCTTCTAGGTAGTGCAGATAGTATATTGTGCCTTTAGAAATGAAGGAAGAAAAAATATCCATTATAATGCTGGATTAATATAAAACTCAAATAGCCTAATTTGGTAGTTTTGATAGAAAAAGAATTATGACTTCTGAACAGAGATGTTGCCTGCATTAGTAGAAAAAGCATTGTTTAGTTTTCATTTGAAAGAAAGAATTGTAGAAATTAGATCTTTTCAGCTCTGTTTGGTTGAGTCCATATCCCTCTCAATATAAGACTACTATGTTTTCTGAGGTTTTGCTCAGTCTAATGCTAAATGGCACAAAATGGGGGTATCTACCAGTTGTGGAATAATTTCCTTGTTAATTTTCCATTGTCAGGGAGTTTTTCTTACTGTCTGGGCTTTTAGTTTATTTTGTGGAGTTCCCCATCCTCCCCCAAAGTGATTATTGGTTGCTGGATCATCTCTCTCTGATCAAATCTTGGCATCTGATTATGCACAGTTTCCATAGAAGCCAACGAGAGAGACTTTGGCTTTTTGTTTTGTAGATGATACGTGTCATGTAAATTTTCCTCTCTTTAGGACTTGTGGATAAAATGTGAAGGGACCCAGACATTTAGAATCAAGCGAACCGCTTTGGACAGCAACTTCAGAAAGCCAAAGAAGGGTAAAAATCTCTTTGATGAAGCCAATCACTGCTAAAATATCATTGTGACACTTGGCAATGCTCAGATTCCTTCATTGGGCACTGTACAAACACACAGAATGTAATCCCTACCCTAACTAGGGATCTAAGAAAGGACAAACCAAGTAAAGGTTGGTCAGCGATATTAAATCCAGTTAAAATATTTGTTAAAATTAATGTAAATGAAATTAGATCCTTTTTGGAATGTTGCATTTCATCATACTTCAAAGCTTCTCCCTGGGACGTGTGATAAATGCAACAAATAAGAATCAAAAAGCAAGACTGAGCAAAAGAGGTGAACCCTCTCATAGCTGGATTGGGGATAGGAAATAAACTAGTTTGTAAAATGGAGGGAGGGAAATTGGAGGATGTGAGCCAAAGTCAGGGTTTGTTGAAGGGTTACACGTGTAATCTGATGGACACTTGCTGTTTGCAGAACATACAAGTCAGTGTATTCTGCCACAGTACAGAAAGATATGACAGCATCAATGTCCATGTTAGAACACAGCACACAGTGAATTCAGTGCCATTTTGACTTGTAATTTATATCCATTTTTAGGCCATAACCCTTATAAGGAGGCTGGTTGTACCATTAGTGCAGCTACACCAAAAGTAGGAAGTGTCCCATAGTCATTTAATTTAATATAGTGGGCCAGAGTCGCCCATGCTATAACCCCTGTAAATGAGTGGAGTTACCTAGATGAAGTTGGCTGTATTTTCATCACTTACTTTAGTGCAATTAAAACTTAACAGTCCATAAATTTCAGAAACATTTCCTGTTTTTTTTCTTTGAAATATTGTGCAATGTAAAGATATGCCCTAGCAATCCAGTCCAAGCTGAAATTGTGTATGTGGTGTGGATTATTTTCTTATTTTAAAACAGCTGGCTACATTTTAACAGTATTTTATTGGTTGTTTTCACCAACAGCTTTAGGAAAGACTTATGAAACTACTTTTTGTATTGTAAAAACTGCCATGGGACTTACTGGTTTTATGTATCAAAATGCATTTATTTATAAGCAGTGTAAACTATTTATAAAAGACTTTATATCTTTTCAAAAAATGTTTTGAGGAAGGCTTTAATAATGAAAATATGGAGAAACAGGACTCTTAATTATTTTACACTTTCACTATATGTCAATAAGAGAACTAGTGTTTTCTCTGAATTGGAAAATACATTCTTTCCTTTGCTTTGTTTTCTGTACATATTACAATAGTCTGTTCTGAGTTGAAATTCTTTTATACACTGTGAAATTGCATCAGAAGGGGTAATACAGAGATAAATTGATTTAGTAAAATGCTTATAGGTTTAAGGGGCACTACCAAGTTGAAAATTACATTTGCCTCAAAATTGTGCCTACTATTGTTTCTTGTAAGATCCAAGATTACAATCACTGAAAAGCTAGCAAAAAAGATCTGCATTTGACAGCACTTTGTGTATAGTAATTTTCAGTGTTTCTCATGTGTCTTACTTTTGCTTAAAAGACCCATCTGTTGGGAAATGGAATGCCTGCTCCCCAACATGCATGTGTACACACGTGCTTGCATGCTCTTGCTCTCAAAAAGGTTCCTAATGTACTGTTTAAAAGTTCTGGAATTTTAAGTGTCTTTTTTTTTTTTTTTTTAAAGCACACAGTATTCTGTTCATGTTTTGTGGTGTGAAAAATTCACCATCACTATGTGTTACAAGTTTTCACACCCCATGCTTGAACTAAGACTACAGCACATTATAGAAGCGCAGCATTCAAAAAGACAATTTCAAACTTGTGCATGCCTTTATCCATGGCATTTATATGATGATCACTGGCCTTTGAACAAAGAGGCACTGATATATTCTGGTTAGCACAAGGTGGGGTCAAGCTACATAGATTTTTTTTTTTTTTGTATGGGCTATTCCTAAATAAGTGGAAAAAATGTACAGATTTGTCTTGGGCCCAGATCCTGCCAACATGTATGCATATAAGTAACGTTATGCATCTGAATAGTCCCTTTGTAATTATGCCTGGGTGTTCACAGGATCAGGGCCTGTATTAGCTCATCTCCTCCAAATCCTACGGATTTTTAATTGAGCAATAAAGGATTACACAAAGTTTAAAAAGCTAAAATAAGACTTTCATCTTAGCTTGTGTGGGCAGAAAGGGAGCTGTCTGTATAAAGCACTTTAAAAAAACCCCATAATCCTCCTACACATCCTGCCTGAATTTCCAGTTTACAAGTTTGGTCTTATTTTTTATTTTTAATTTTTGAGTGGGAGAGGCAGGAGAAATTTGGGTTCAAAAGAACATTATTCAAAAGTGTAATTTTAACTTACTTGGCTTCTCCCCTTACGTATTAAGACATTTTTAGGTGACTAAACAGCACCCTAATAGAGAAGTAGTCCAGAATGGAAACAAAACATTGAGCAATTTAATGGAGCTATACCCACAGTACTTACTCAGATAAAACTCATTGTAATCCATGAGATTTGCCCGAGTTCTGACTGAAGTGATCAGGTTTCCACCTGCAATTGATTCTAATTCATATCTATTTAACATGTTTCTCATATGAGATTAACATAATCTGGTTGTAAGCGGGATAGAAAATTGTATTGTGGCTTTGTGTCTATTTCTATACTTTTGTAATATCAAATAATGATCAGTTGTTCCATTATTAAACAGTGAATTAAACATTGCAAAACTTCACCAAAGCAGAGAAGAATGTTGTGCACCCAAAAATCTCTTAAGTACTCCAGCTACAGGTTTAGAGGAGTAATACATGCCGTTCTGGTTCTGTGTGTGAACACATTTTTTATCGTAGACCAGTGTTCTTGCAGAGAGTTCTACCAGAATAGTTATTCCCCTGTAGTTATGCTGGGAAACGTCTCCATCTAGACAAAAGCCTCTACATTACATTAACATTTCAGTAAAAGACCTGCAGTGTGACCATGGCTAGTCCCTTATCAGCTGACTTAGGCTCAAACTGTAGAGCTAAAAATCACTGAGCATGTGGTCTGGCTTCCGCCTGACCCCCAAAATTGAATTTTTTTGGCTTGCAGCAGGTGCTACGAGCTCTTCAGTTGACTCAGGCTCTGAAACTTGGTGCTGTGGGATTTTTATTGCAGTATAGATGCACCCTCTGTCACTCAACAATGACCTCTTGGAGTTTTCCTTTGCTCTGCCACGGTTTAAAGAACCTGCACAAGCTGACCAATTTCCCTGCTTTATCTTGAGGCTTGCAGTTCTCTAGCAAGAACATCTCAGACTCTGCAGTCTTGCCACATCAGATCAGAATTTTAACATTCTAGGAGTTGTGTGTGTATATTTGCTATCAGGAATGGCAGAATCCTGTTTGCCACTTCATTACAAAAACTCCATTACAAATCTGATTAGCACTGTGATTAAGCATTTAAGTGCCCAGAATTGTAAAAGATTCTTAATAGCTTTATGTACAGGATGCCTTTAGAAAACTTAAGTATTCTTTTTACATTTAGGTTAATGTTTTCAAATGTTAAATTGTAATGTGTATATCTATACATTTTTGTACTGTTTCCTAATAAAATGTCAGTCATATATATATTTGCCTTTGTGTCTTATACTCAACATAGGTCACTAATATTGTATCCACATTTGACATTTTATTCAGTATTTTGTTACTGGTATTAAAAGTCCCTTAAAATTCTCTTCCCCCAAGAATTGTATTTGCTACTCAAAGTTTAGAAACTGTTTAGTGTTGCTGTGTGCTGTCAAATCATGTTCCAGCCCAGAGGTGGCTGCTTTACTAATTACTAAAATGCAATCACAGGTCTCCACATTGACTGAAGATCATCTTATCTGAAGAAGCAGGTTTTGACTACAAAGGTGCCACAGAACTACTCACTTTTAAAAAGTTGTGTTTACCTCTGGAATGTAATCTATCCTTTATAGCTTTGTCTGTACCAGATGACTGGAAGAGAGCTAATGTGACACCAGCTTTAAAAACAAAACAAAAAGGCTCCAGAGGTGATCCCAACAATTACAGGCCTGTAATCTTAATCAGTACCAGGCACACTGGTTGAAACTATAGTAAAGCACAGACTTATTGGGTACAAGGACAATCTGGTGGGGAAGAGTGAATAAAATTTCTGTAAAGAAAAATCAGGCATAAGCTATCTTAAAATTCTCTGAGGGCCCAAGAAATGTTGAACAAGGGTGATTTCCCCCACAGGTTTGTACTAGAACCAGCATTATTCAGCATTCATAAATGTAGAGAAAGGGGTAAACAGTGATGTAAAACTTGCAGTTGACACAAAACTGCTGAGGGTAGTAATCTCCAAAGCAAACTATGAAGTGTTACAGAGGGATCTCATAAAATTGGGTGACTTTTGAATAAGAAAATAGCTGATGAAATTCAATGTTGAGAAATGAAAAGTAATGTGCATTGGAAAACATAAACCCAACTCTACATATAAAATGATTGGGTCTAAATTAGCTGTTACCATTCAAGAAATAACTTAGTCACTGTGGAGAGTTCTAGGAAAGCATCCACTCAATTAATTGTCATCAAAAAAGCAAACAATGTTGGGAATCACTAGGAATGGGATAAATAAGATGACAGAAATAACATATTGCCCCTATATAAATCCATGGTCTCTCACTCACCTAAAATAAAAATTGGAATGGGAAAATGTACAGAAGAGGGAAACCTAAATTATTAGGGGGCATGGAACAGCTTCTGTATGAAGAAAGATTAATATGATTGAGGCTTTTCAGCTTAGAAAGGAGACAACTGAGGGATATGACATAAATCCATAAAATCATAATTAGCATGGAGAAAATAAAGAAGCATTATTTACTTTGTCTCAGAAAATAAGAACTAGAAGTTACCCAATCAAATTAATAGGTGGTAGGTTCAATACAAGCCAAAGGAAGTATATCTTCATATGATGCACATTCAACCTGTGGAATGCTTTGTCAGAGAATGTTGTGAAGGTCATACCTATAAAAAGGTTCAACAAAACTAGGTAAGTTCCTGGAGGATAGGTCCATCACTGGCTATTAACTGGGATTGGCCGGGATAGTCTGAAATGTCTGTAAGCTGGGAATGGGTGACCATGGATGGATTGCTTGATGATCACTAGGTCTGTTCATTCCTTCTGGACCACTTGGCATTGGCCACTGTCAGAGAATAGCGTATTGATATAGGATGAACCATTGGTTTGACCCACTATGCCTATTCTTACTACCAACAAAGGAGAGCCCTAACCAGCAAGGTTTGTATTTGGTGTAGCGAAAGGACTGATTTACCCCAGCTGACAAATTAGCAGTGAAAGTGTGTGGGAGAAAACCAGTAAACAGAAGCATGTGAATGAAAAATGGGAGATGGTGTTTAAAAAGCTTGTTAGATGAGGGCACAGGGTCCTGTGGGGATGGTGCCCTCTTTGTGCCCCTCCTCACTAGCTGCCTATGATGGTGGGGATTCCTAAAAATGAGACTGTACATTTCCATTGTATCCTTGGGAGCATTCATTTGTGATACAAACTCAGTGGGTGCCTATTGGGCTCAGTCACTTCCTCCTTCCAACATCAGTTTTCATCACTATAAAAATCTACCTTGGGGAAGAACATAATCCCCAACAATCACTTTCCCCCAGAGCAGCGGGTTCCCAACCTTTTCCGGATGGGGACCCATTTTGACAATTTGGGAAGACTTGGTGACCTAAGGCAATTCAAAAAAATGTGTGAATGGATCCTTAAAAGCTACCCGGGGAGACACCTGGTGACCCATAGGTTGGGAAACCCTGCCCCAGGGGCATCTGGCCTTGACAGCCAAAACCAATTAGAACAATGGTTTTCAAACCACCGGTCATGACCCAGGACTGGACTGTGGAATATCAGGCACTGGGTCTTGTAGGGGCAGGGGGATCAAGTGGCTAGTGGGGGTGCTAAGGCAGCTACCTGACTGTCCTGGTACCGCAGACTGTGCTGTGTCCCAGAAGCTGTCAGCAGCAGGCCCAGCTCCTTAGGCTGGGCAGGGAAGGGGGAAGAGCACACGAGGCTCCATGCACTGCCCTTGCCCTAAGCACTAGCTGCACTCCCATTGGTTGGGAACCTGCTGCTGGCTTATTTGGGGGCACAGCATGGTCTGCAGAAAGCCTGTCTAAGCCCCACTGCCACACAGCTGACTGGGAGCTGCTCAAGCTAAGCCCATCTTGCCCTGCCCCCACAGCCAGATCCCCCTTCTACACCCCAAAGCTCCCATCCTCAGCCCCACCCCGGAGCCCACACTCTAGTCAGATTGTTGGGTCGCAGCATCAACAATTTTCTTCAACTGGGTCATGAGAAGTTTGAAAACCACTGAATTATACTGTCTGCCCCGTCACCTAAACTGCTCTGTCTTTTCCCTCCTAGGTCCTTGTCCTATGTGCCAAACCGGCTTGTCCCTGACGCTTCTAGAATTAGCCAAGCCCCGGCTAGGCCTGCTCCCTTCGGGGGTCTCTTCAGGCTGAACAGAGGCTGCCCTTCTCTCTCCTAGCAGGCCTGATTTCTAGTCCCATGCTGCTTTTCAGCATGCAAGCCCTGCACTTCTTCCCTTCCTCCGGGGAATTGCATACCCCAAGCCAGGTGCAGTTGAGCTCCAACCCCTTAGGTGGCCATCTCCCCCCGGACAGGCTGAGACTGCAAACCTTGCTGCAGGGGTCTCCAGCATCCTCTTAGCAACACAGCCCTCCAGCTGTGCCATGCTCCCTATTGCCCCCTTCCAGGGGACCTGCAATCTCTGTCCCTCCAGTCTCTCATTGGCAATTGTGGTCCATTATCTGTCCAGCCAATGGGAGCTGTGAGGACTGTTCTGGAGGCAGGGGCAGTACGTCAAGTCTCTCCCCCACACATGGCACAGAGCAGCCAGCTGCTTTGAGAGGCCTGGGAGGGGGGCAAAGTTCCCACTGGGCTGCTGGTCAGAAACTGCGGAGGTGTCTCCCAGCCAGAGCCTGCATCCCACTCCCTCCCCCACCTCAACTCTGCCCCAGGTCACCATGCCGGGATGGGTATTTCATCACATGCTTGAGTATGACTAGGTTCTCCAATATTTCTAAAATATTAAGGACTTCCCCTGCCACAAACCAAGTCAGAGCCACTATTGGTAAGTGTCCCAAAAACAGTTTCAGCCACCCTGCATCAGCCACATCCTGCATCTTAGCTGTTTGTGTTTAAAGTAAACTCTGTTACTCCCTCACCTGCACAGGCAGAGCCAGTGGATGGTTCAGGTCCAATGTCCTGGGCCCTGTGTTTTGGGGTCCCTGCAGGGCCCAGAGAAATCCAGGGGATTAGCAGGGGTCAGGCCTGTCCCCACATTCACCCACAGCAGAGAGAAGCTGAGCAACCCAGCCTCATGGCTTGCGGAGGAGGCTTGGGGAAAAAGGGGAGGGAGGGACCCCACTCACCAGCAGCAGGAAGCAGAGCAAAACAGCTGGGATAGGGTTGCCAACTTCCTAATTCCAGAAAACCAAGCACTTGCTCCATTCATGGCTGAGGCCCTGTCCTTCCTCTCTTGCTCTTGGCCAAGCAGGTGCGGTAGACGTTTCACACGTTTCCAGAATTCAGGCTACGTCTAGAGTGCAGGCTTCTTGCGCAAGAAGCTTTTTGCAGAAGAGATCTTCCGCAAAAACTTCTTGCGCAAGAGCGCACCCACACTGCAAAAGCGCATCGGAAAAGGGTTGCTCTTTTGTGCAAGAGAGCATCCAGAGTGCATGGATGCTCTCATGCAAGAAAGCTGTGATTGCCATTAACAGAATGACCACTACGGCACCTGTTTTCCATCCACACACTCCTTTTTGTGCAAGAGCTCAATGCATCATGTTTGCTTTTTTCGCAACAGCATCACACTGCTGACTCATATTCAGCTTGTGGTCCACTATAACCCCTAGATCCCTTTCTGCCATGCTCCTTCTCAGACAGTCGCTTCCCATTCTGTATGTGTGAAACTGATTGTTCCTTCCTAAGTGGAGCACTTTGCATTTGTCTTTATTAAACTTCATCTTGTTTACCTCAGACCATTTCTCCAATTTATCCAGGTCATTTTGAATTATGACCCTATCCTCCAGATTAGTTGCAACCTCTCCCAGCTTGGTAGCATCTGCAAATTTAATAAGCGTACTT